TTCCATCCATCTCTTTGTCTATTCATCCAGCCTTCTACCAATTTAAAACTGTTTTTTGTCCGTTCATCTATTCACCCGACATTCTGTCTTTTCACTTAATCCATCCAGCTTTTCATTCATCCAATTCGTTCTGTATCTTTCTTTCCTCCCTTCCACCCATCTATCTACCTTTCATTTCTTGCATCCTCCACCCACTTCTGGGTTATCCATTCTCCAATGCCATCGTTCCACATTTAATAGGTTATTCTTCAGTGCTGTCCTTTCCCTTGCACTGGGGACCCAGATGGATCACACCATCCCTGGAAAACTCATTCGCAAGTGGCAGTGGCAGAGAGGCAAGAATGTGCCCAGGAGTAGAGCGGGGGGTGTGGGTGGGGGTGTGCTCCAGGGCTGACCCAGACCACCAAGGGCTGCTTACTTTGGAGAGGGCTACTGCAGAGGCTTCACCTGTATGAACCTCCTCTGTGGGCATGGGTAGGAGTGGGGAAGAGAAAAATCCTCAGCCAGCACATACTATGTGGCAAGTGGTAAGGTATCTTGCTCAATTCTCACAACTCTGTTTTAGTGCTGCTTGCTTCATTAATCAGGTTCAGAGGGATGAAAGGGGGCTCAGAGTGTAGTGGGGCAAGGCCATGGGGTCAGTCCTGGGTTTAAGTCTTGGCTCTGTCACTTTCTTGTGTGTGTTTGGGCAGCTACCGGGCTCGGTTTCCTCATTCATAAATCAGAACTGGTGTGTATTTTACAGCTGTGATGTTTTGAGGCTTGTGGCTAACAAGGTACCATAACAGAATGCTGAGTATGATGCCTGCCCAGTCAGTACTCAGCCAATGGTAGCTGTTATCATTGTTATATGAGAGGTTGGGATTCAATCCCAAGACCTGTGATTTGCTGCTTTGCAAACCATGCATCTGGTCCACCCTTCCATTCACAAATGCCAGCCTTTCCTCTCCCACCAGCAGGGCCAGAGGACCCTTGTCCTCCAGGCCCAAGTGTAGTCTCATTAGGAAAAGCATAGTTTGCAACTATTAACGGGTATTACAGTTGAATTGTGATACCCTCAAGTTCACGGTGAAGTCCTAAGCCCCAGTACCTCAGCATGTGACCCTGGTTGGGAAGAGTCATTGCAGATGTAATTAAAGGTGAGGTCATACTAGAGTGTGGCCCTAACCCAGTGTGACTGGCATCCTTATAAAAAGGGGAAATTTGGACAGACATGTGCACAAGAAGAGCATCAGGGGAAGATTGGAAGCATGCTGCCAGAAGCAAGGAACTGGCAGAAGCCAGGAGAGAGGCCTGGAACACAGCTTTCCCAGTGCTTTCGGACCTTTTACAGTGCTCCTGGGAGCACTGTACCTTAATCTCAGACTTCCAGCCTCCAGAGCTGGAGACAACACTTCAACCACTCAGTCTGTGATACTTTGTCTCGACAGCCTGAGTGGCATAATACAGTGACCACAGGTTGTTTTCTCTGCACAGATGGAGATGATGTGGAGGGCAGCTGTCCAAGACAGAGACCAGGCTGATATCCACTGTGGCAGGGGTCGTGGTCACTGCTGTCTCCCTGGGCCGGTACAGAGCCTGGCCAAAGGCATGCCTTGTCAAGCTTTACTAAACTGTGTTTTCAAACAATTTATGAATTTTTACTTTCAATGTAACCACCCCCAGAGTGAGATACAGCCCTGTGGCCCCAACACACACACAAGGTAATCATTCTGACTTCTATCACCAACAAGAGTTTTGCCTATTCTTTTTTTTTTTGTACGTTGCACACTTTGCGGGATCCTAGCTCCCCAACCAGGGATTGAACCCAGGCCCACGGCAGTGAAAGCATCAAGTCTTAACCACTGGAGGGAAGTCCCCAGTTTTGACTATTCTTGAACGTCATGTAAATGGGATTACACTGTACGTGCTCTTTCGTGTCTGGTTTCTTTTGCCCAATTTTGTTCATAAAAGCTTGCTGAATATTTTAAATTGATGTGTAGTATTCCACTGCAAATATGTATCACAATCTATTTGTCCATTCTACCACTGATGGGCATTTAATTAGTTTCCACATTCTGACTCTGATGAATAAAGATGTTATAAACATTCTTGTATATGTCTTTTGTCAAACGTGGGCACTTGTTTCTCTTGGAGTGGATTGCTGGCAGAGAGGAGGCATACTTTTTAAAAACGTTATTTATTTAATTGATTTATTTTTGGCCGCACTGGGTCTTTGCTGCTACCCGCAGGACTTCTCCCGTTGCCAAGATCAGGGGCTACTCCCTCACTGCGGTGGGCTTCTCTTGCTGCCGGGCGTGGGCTCTAGGGCGTGGGTATCAACAGTGGTGGTGCATGGGCTTAGCTGCCCTGTGGCACGTGGCATCTTCCTGGACCAGGGATCGAACCTGTGTCCCCTCCATTGGCCGAAAGATTTTTAACTGTTGGATCACCAGAGAAGTCCATATGTTTTACTTTAGTAAAATTTACTTCAGTCCATATGTTTTACTTTAGCAAAAATTGCCAAGCAGTTTTCCAGAGTGATTGGATCAATTTACACTGCCCTGCTTCCACCCCAGCGAAAATTGATGTGTAGTATTCCACTGCAAATATGTATCACAATCTATTTGTCCATTCTACCACTGATGGGCATTTAATTAGTTTCCACATTCTGACTCTGATAAATAAAGATGTTATAAACATTCTTGTGTATGTCTTTTGTCAAACGTGGGCACTTGTTTCTCTTGGAGTGGATTGCTGGCAGAGAGGAGGCATACTTTTTAAAAATGTTATTTATTTAATTGATTTATTTTTGGCCGCACTGGGTCTTTGCTGCTACCCGCAGGACTTCTCCCGTTGCCAAGAGCAGGGGCTACTCCCTCACTGTGGTGGGCTTCTCTTGCTGTGGGGCGTGGGCTCTAGGGTGTGGGTATCAACAGTGGTGGTGCATGGGCTTAGCTGCTCTGTGGCACGTGGCATCTTCCTGGACCAGGGATTGAACCTGTGTCCCCTCCATTGGCCGAAAGATTTTTAACTGTTGGATCACCAGAGAAGTCCATATGTTTTACTTTAGTAAAATTTACTTCAGTCCATATGTTTTACTTTAGCAAAAATTGCCAAGCAGTTTTCCAGAGTGATTGGATCAATTTACACTGCCCTGCTTCCACCCCAGCGACATGTGAGAGTTCCAGTTGCTCCCTGCCTTGATATTGTCAGTCTTTATTTTTAACCATTCTAGTGGGTGTTGTGATGATTCTCACTGTAGTTTTATTTTGCAATTCACTGATGGGTAAGGCTGTTGAGCACCTATATATACACCTATTTTCATATACATAAAGTTCATTTATATCTGTTTGAACCTTTTGTCCATTAAAAAAAGTTAAGATGTTTATCTTATTGATTTGGAGTTCATATATCTAGAGATGAGTCTGTTTTTCAAGTGTGATTTTACTTTTATAGAAAAAATAAAAATTGCATGCAATTTGAATATGTAAGTTTGCAATATCTAAAGTAAGTTAGGTGTTACATAAGAGCTGAAAGTATAAAAAATACTAGAAAGACCATGATCACAGTTTTTTAAAGATGCAAATAAAATAAACATAGCTACATAGAAAAGCTCATATACCACTTTCTAGTAAAAAAATTTAAAACATAGATGAGTCTTTTAACAAAGTTTATCTCACCAAACATTTACATACACACACCGCAATGATCACATCAGTTTAAAAGTACCTTTGATCCTATTAATTAACTAAAAGCAATTTTTCATGTCTTAGAAATGACCCTCAATGATGTAATACATGACACATTCATTTCGTGTGTACACAGTGGGGCTGGCCCAGCAGAGCCAGCCCAGTTTTCACAAGCTTGAGCCAAGAATTTGCTCTGGATTGGGCTCCAGAGCAGACTGCAGTCCAGTTTGGTTGAGCAGTTTGGGGGGTGGTGGCGAGACTCATTTATTTTTTCTTCCTCCAAGATGGGCTGATGCTGAGTCTGTGTTACAGCCGTGGACTAAGGCGGTGGGAAGGCATAGAGCAAGAGGATCGGGACAGAAATGATCTCATCTGGCCAGTCTCCAGAGCAGGGCTCTCATAACTAAGCTGCAAGCTCACAGTTTACTACATGTCTGCCACATGGCAGGTTCTGGGGACCCAGAGATGGTTAGGACACCAGCCTCATCCTGGGGGAGTTTATGGTCAGGGAGAAGAGACAAAGAAGCCAGGAAGCATGATGTGGAGTGCTAAGTGTAGTAAATGTCACCACTATAAAGAGAGATGAGTGGTCAGAATGCTATAGGGGAAAGGCTGGAGGCTCCCAGCTCTTGATGGATCCCAGGGGCATCTTCACAGAGAACCTGATGCCATTTGCTCTGTGCCTTGATGCATGAGAAGAAGTCACCAGACAGAGGGTGGCAGAAGGATGCTCCAAACAGGGGGCTTGGTGCAGGACTTCCGGCAAGGAACAGTCTTGTGACTGGAGTGCAGGGTGTGTTGAGGACAAGGCAGGAACATTAGGGTGGGCCCAGGGATAAACAGCTACTCTCTTGCAGCTTCTAGGGAGTCCTGGTGCCTGACGATGCTGATCTGGGAGTACCAGTTTTCCAGGGCACCTTGTGCTCACGGCAACTATGTGGTTCTTTGTAGGATGGCCTTTCTATGTGGAGGAATACTTGTTTTGGATCCCTCCCCATGGTTACTACTGTCCACAAAGCAGAGCATGCTGCCTGACCCGCACAGGGTTTGTCCCCTCCCCTTACCTGAGAACGCTTCTCTAAAAAGGAGCGACCTTCGGTTCTGGGTTGTTTTTCTTCTGGAGTTGGGACCTAGTGAACAGGAGATGAAGGAAGATGCCCAGATTTCTGGGCATGGAAGGCAGGAGTTCTTGGAGCAAGGGTGTCATGACTGGGGTGGGGCCCAAGGTCTGGGTGGGCTAGAGCTATGAGGCAGGGGAGAGGGGCTGCTTGAAGGGCACTTTGATCCTATTAATTAACTAAAAGCAATTTTTCATGTCTTAGAAATGACCCTCAATGATGTAATACATGACACATTCATTTCGTGTGTACACAGTGGGGCTGGCCCAGCAGAGCCAGCCCAGTTTTCACAAGCTTGAGCCAAGAATTTGCTCTGGATTGGGCTCCAGAGCAGACTGCAGTCCAGTTTGGTTGAGCAGTTTGGGGGGTGGTGGCGAGACTCATTTATTTTTTCTTCCTCCAAGATGGGCTGATGCTGAGTCTGTGTTACAGCCGTGGACTAAGGCGGTGGGAAGGCATAGAGCAAGAGGATCGGGACAGAAATGATCTCATCTGGCCAGTCTCCAGAGCAGGGCTCTCATAACTAAGCTGCAAGCTCACAGTTTACTACATGTCTGCCACATGGCAGGTTCTGGGGACCCAGAGATGGTTAGGACACCAGCCTCATCCTGGGGGAGTTTATGGTCAGGGAGAAGAGACAAAGAAGCCAGGAAGCATGATGTGGAGTGCTAAGTGTAGTAAATGTCACCACTATAAAGAGAGATGAGTGGTCAGAATGCTATAGGGGAAAGGCTGGAGGCTCCCAGCTCTTGATGGATCCCAGGGGCATCTTCACAGAGGACCTGATGCCATTTGCTCTGTGCCTTGATGCATGAGAAGAAGTCACCAGACAGAGGGTGGCAGAAGGATGCTCCAAACAGGGGGCTTGGTGCAGGACTTCCGGCAAGGAACAGTCTTGTGACTGGAGTGCAGGATGTGTTGAGGACAAGGCAGGAACATTAGGGTGGGCCCAGGGATAAACAGCTACTCTCTTGCAGCTTCTAGGGAGTCCTGGTGCCTGATGATGCTGATCTGGGAGTACCAGTTTTCCAGGGCACCTTGTGCTCACGGCAACTATGTGGTTCTTTGTAGGATGGCCTTTCTATGTGGAGGAATCCTTGTTTTGGATCCCTCCCCATGGTTACTACTGTCCACAAAGCAGAGCATGCTGCCTGACCCGCACAGGGTTTGTCCCCTCCCCTTACCTGAGAACGCTTCTCTAAAAAGGAGCGACCTTCGGTTCTGGGTTGTTTTTCTTCTGGAGTTGGGACCTAGTGAACAGGAGATGAAGGAAGATGCCCAGATTTCTGGGCATGGAAGGCAGGAGTTCTTGGAGCAAGGGTGTCATGACTGGGGTGGGGCCCAAGGTCTGGGTGGGCTAGAGCTATGAGGCAGGGGAGAGGGGCTGCTTGAAGGGCATACCTGATGGATTGGGCCTGCCAGAGGAAGCCTCTGGCCTTGGTGATCTCCTGGGCCAATCTCCTTAAATCATCTCCTTCAAATAGTGGCAGCGCAGGATCCTTGAAAGAGGGAAATGAGTCTGAAGTTAGATTCATTAAATGAATGGGTGGGACGTGAAAATCCAAAATCTTAGGAGAAGAATTTTAGCGTGAACTCAGTGCAGCCTTCCTCCCAGTGCAGGGAATCTTGTGGGCCTCAGCTTGCACGTTTCCAGGGACAGAGAGCTTAATATATGCAAAGGCAGTCATTCTGTAAAGGGGACACTTTGCAATAAGATGTCTGAGAGTCACTGGAAACCGAGAGGGGCCCTGGACTTCACTGAAGTCAGCACTGCTCTGCCCTGTAGAACAGAAGTGGTATATACACCTTATCTCAATGTCAACCCCTTCTCTATTTCTTCCAGTAAAACAGCTCCACAGACATACCTTTTTCTTATGTCAACTAATGAAATTCCAGAGCTTAGCCTTAAAAATACAAGTTCTCACCATTAGTAAGAGAATGTAAGAGAGATGAAAGTGTTCCTTCTTCCTGGAAGCAGTAGTGGCAAAGGTCCCACTCTGCACCCAGAAACTATTCAAAGAATCTGATTTGATAAGGTATTAAATAGAGAACTTCCCCAATATTGTCAACTGTGTTTTCCTGTGTAGGATATGGATGAATATTTATTACTTTTACTTGTTCTGACCTCTATATCACTAGTAATATTTGCCCCCCAAACTGTTACTCAAACAAAGAAATCATGCAAAGCACTCAACTTCAAAAATTTTGCCATGCCCTGTGATAGTAAACTTTAATTTCCAAAAAAAAAATTCCAGAATTCTGGTTGATTGTTCTACTAGATGATATGCTGGCTTGGAAATATTATGATTCACAGCAACACATCCCTAGAAGGTATGAATAGATACATAATCTTTCTAGCAGGTTGTAAAATCTTATTCTATATGTGTGATAAAACTTATGACTTTACTGTATTTATTTTTAACAGATCACACATTTGAATATCTGTACTTTAATGAATTTAAGGTGAGAAGACAGAAATATGCAGGAATGAAAGCATAGAGCTTAGGAGCATGGATGTCTGGACTCCAGCTTTACCATCTACTCTGACTTTAGGTGTATTCCTAAACCTGGCTGAGCCTGTTCACTCATCTGTTAAATGGGTACAATAATGCTTGGTAGGATTAAAAGAGGTAATTTACAAAGAGCTAATTGTTAGTTAGGAAGAAAAAACCACACCTGTTGACACTGTATTGCACTGTTTCAACAGAACTCATCCAGCGGCTCTACAACCTACCCTTTGGTGGAGGAAGCCCCTGGTCAGCAGGCCCTGCATTTCCAGAAGCGAGTCCTCACTAACAGGGCAGTGATAGCGCGCCCCGGTGAGGGCGGCCAGGTCTCTCAAGAAGTTAGCAGCAGTCCTGCGGGGAGGAACAGAGGGCTGGGGCCAGGCCCACCGATCTCTGTGAGCCCCCAGCCCCTGGGGAAGTCATGTCAGTGCGGTAACGGGTCTTGGGCCCGGAGGCTCTGTGCCATTGAGACCATGTCAGGATCACAAGCCCACTCTCCCAGTTGGTTTTTGGGTGGCAGATGTGCTGCTGCGTGAATCATATTCACCGTATCAGGGTCGCCCTCTGAGCACATGGCCCCATTCCTTAATCTATCCAGTGCCGGCTATGTGTCTGGCCTGGCAGGGAGACAGTGTGACTTTTATGGAGCTCATGGCTTGGACAGAGAGATTAAATATAAATGTAAGCAAAAACCACTGCAATGCTGTAAAGTAATTAGCCTCCAACTAATAAAAATGGGAAAAAAAAAAAATATAAATGTAAGTAATCACAGCTGTGCCAATTACATTAAGCATTTTTGTTTCAGAAGGAGCTGAATCCCTCCTGTTTAACACATGATCTTTCTTCCATGATACTTGTTTATGGAAGTAGCCATAGCTACTTTAAACTTTTCCCCCTAAATATTGACAAATGTGCCCCCAAGAAAGACGAAGTGGGAGAACACAGCGTGTGACTGACTGGGAACCGGTGCAAGTCTGTTTCCACACTGGAGAAAGTCGGGGTGCCCTGCTGACGGGTAGGCAGGGTTTCGGTGGGGTTCCCTCTCTGGTGCAATGCCTGCCCAGGGGCCTCCCAGCGGCTGACCCACGGGACTTGGGCCCAGGACAGCTCCGCTCATGGCCACGTGACCCTCAAACACGTGGCGGTAGGGAAGTGGTGCAACTCGGCCGCCTCCTCACTGCCCACCTGCAAGAGCAGTTCAGGGAGATGGTGTGCACTTTGACGTCTCTCTTCTCCTTCAGTCTCTGGACTTCACTGAGAACAAGGCTGCAGCTTGTGTCTGGCTTCCCGTCGGTCAGGAGGTATAGTGCTTCTACATCAGGAAAACTGAAAGCTTTCTGAAAGAGCACATAGGCTGTCTGGCTCAGAGAAGGGGCCAACCAGGATGCAGAAACCACTGACCTGCTATCCCCAAGTCTGCTTGGATCCCACCAACTTGTCATTAAGACTGTGAGCCTCCCCTTTCACCTGATGACAGACCAGGAAGCTGTTGAAGTTTAGGAAAAAGAGTGCAGCTCACTTCAGAGCTGGTTAATCCCAAGCAAGTCACTTAACCTCTCTGAGCCTCTGTGTCATCATTAATAAAGTCAGAAATTTGAGAAACTCATTCTCACTGGGTTGTTGGGAAGATGCAATGATTGAACACTTAGCAAATTCTAAAGTGCTCTCCGTAAACTCTAAAGCATCATGCAATGTCAGGATTAGGGGTTAGGACAGTATTTCTGGGTTGGGCTTGGTGGTGGAACTTGCCAGCAGTGCTTCCAAGACTGAGGTGCTCCCCTGAGCGTGCAGGCAGGTCACCCACTGCATGGCCTTGTGGCAAGCTGCGTCTGTGGCCTCCACCAGAGTGTCCTGCCACGGCTGTAGGCCCTCTGCAAAGCTGAGCAGGTTAAAACTGCGGAGCAGGGAAAAGAAGTGGGGGGTGGAGAGAGGAAAAAGAGATTTGTTTGTATCTGCCAGTCTATATTGAGGGCTTCACTGACGGCTCAGTGGTAAAAAATCCACCTGCAATGCAGGAGACGTGGGTTTGATCCCTGGGTCAAGAAGATCCCCTGGAGGAAGAAATGGCAACCTGCTCCAGTATTCTTGCTTGAAAAACTCCATAGACAGAGGAGCCTGGCAGGCTACAGTACATAGACACGACTGAGCCCGCACACAGTCTATTTTGATCTTGGGAGAGTAACCTACACGAGGACACATGCTTATCCCTGAAGACCCTACAGCAAGCCCTGGGCCCCCTGCAGACCAACCAAGTTTGAGAAGGTACATGGTGAAAATTCTATATGTAGACAGATTTAAATCCCCCCTCAGTAATTGCTGCTTACTGGTTATATGATCTTGGGCAAATGACTTAATCTTTCTAAGCCCTTGTTTCCTTTTCTGAAGAATGGGGATAATAACAGGATCATTGTGCAGGCTGAATGACCTCACACATGTAAAGTGCTTGGCACAAGGAAAGAGCTCTATAAATGCCTGCTCATTTTAATATTAGGGCAAGAATGAGTCCCAGCCTGGGGTCAGAGTTTCCAGCTGTCCCTTCGGGGTCAACCCTTCTGAGTAGAGAGAACAAACCACACCAAAGCCCCTCTTGAAAAATCCACAATTCAAGGCAGCCTGGTGGGTCCTCTGATCTGCTTGCAATTGTCACTGGGCCCAAGACGGATTTCTAAAAACCACTTTACTTCTGCAGTAGAGAGGACACATGCTTATCCCTGAAGACCCTACAGCAAGCCCTGGGCCCCCTGCAGACCAACCAAGTTTGAGAAGGTACATGGTGAAAATTCTATATGTAGACAGATTTAAATCCCCCCTCAGTAATTGCTGCTTACTGGTTATATGATCTTGGGCAAATGACTTAATCTTTCTAAGCCCTTGTTTCCTTTTCTGAAGAAAGGGGATAATAACAGGATCATTGTGCAGGCTGAATGACCTCACACATGTAAAGTGCTTGGCACAAGGAAAGAGCTCTATAAATGCCTGCTCATTTTAATATTAGGGCAAGAATGAGTCCCAGCCTGGGGTCAGAGTTTCCAGCTGTCCCTTCGGGGTCAACCCTTCTGAGTAGAGAGAACAAACCACACCAAAGCCCCTCTTGAAAAATCCACAATTCAAGGCAGCCTGGTGGGTCCTCTGATCTGCTTGCAATTGTCACTGGGCCCAAGACGGATTTCTAAAAACCACTTTACTTCTGCAGTAGGAGGCAGTGTTCCTTCCTGCTATTCAGCTGAGCAGTTCAGAAGCCTCCAGGCTCCTTTGGAAGTGCGAGGAGGGAGTGGTCTCAGCCAGGGAAGCATCCAGAACTATTGCTGGATCTTCCTGCCCCCCACTCCACCCGTACCCCTGCCTCTTACCTGTCACAGTGCTTCCGCAGCTGTTCCCATATCAGCAGGGTAAGCTCCGTCTTCACCTGCTGCAGGTAGGGGCCCATGGATCCCGACGTGTCCAGCAGGATGCACACTTTCCTCTCCAAAATGACTCCGAACAGTCGGCGGCTCCCTGCTCCAGGGTGGGTGGGGACAGAGGCCAGGGAAGAGTGAGGGTGGTTTTTCCCACTGCAGCTATCAAATACACCGCACCAGCACCAAATCTGATCATTTGTGGATCAGATGTGAACCCCTGGGAGATAGCCTCTGTGGTATTATTGCTGGAGTGGCCACAATTCAAAGGCAGCGTAGGTCGGTAGCCTGGGCTTTGGGAGATCAAGGTTTCCACTGTGACTTTGCTGGAGATGACCTGATTATAACCTTCCTGGGCTTGAGCTTCCTCACCCTAATGTTAGGTGATTGAGTTAAGTGGTGTCACAGCACTGTTTGGGGCTGGAAACAAAGTTACAGAGCACAGAGTCTGTACATTGGTCAACAGAAATCAAATGAGCATCCTCGGTGTGCCCAGCGCTGAGCAAAGTGCAGGGGAGATGAGGGAGGGTTCCCTGCCCTCATGGAGCTGCTAGTCGGTAAAGGAAAACGGATGTTATTCTAACAGCTACGCCTCTGCTGAGGGTTCTGACAAACATACAGGAGTATACACTGGGGGGATTCTGAAAGAGATGGATGTGGGGTGGGGAGCGGGCAACCTCCGGCTGAGGATGAGGAGCAGCGGCCAAGGAGAGGAGGGAGAGGAGGTGTGTGTGGAGCAAACGGACTGAGAAAAGCTCTGAGTGGGAGAAGAGCATGCCACGCTTGTGGGACAGAGGGAAAGCTGGCGAGGTGGGTACAGGATTTTGGAATTATCCCAAGGGGAAACAGAGAGAGTCAGTGACTTGCCCACAGTCACACAGCCTGGCAGCGAAGCTGAGATTCACATTCAGGTCCTCTGACCCATGTTTTAGGGCAACAGCTAGCCCCAGCCCTTTTAGTGCCCCAGGGCTAATGGAAGTAACACGGAGGAAGCCAAAGAGCAGAAGATGGCGTGTCAAGCGTTCCTGAATCACACCTCAGACCTCACTGGAGGCAGGATTAGAAAAAATGGAAACCTGCTGCAAAACGGGCTCACTGCTCTCCAGGGAAAGGCGGCCTGAGCTGGCTGGACCCACTGCCCAGGAATCTTCCAGGACTCACGTGGCATATTCTCTGGCCACGCTCATGGCCACATGAGGACAGGAGGGGAGCCATCCTAAAGCGTGGGGATGTTCTGTGAGGACAGCCAGCCAGCTCTCGAGGGCCCTCCCACACAAAAGGCCAGCTGATCCACCCTGGGAACCAGACAGCGGAAGGGAACCCTGAAAGCCACTGAGCCCTGGGATTGTCTCCCTAATCTAACTCTGCTTTCTTCGTCCATCTCCATCATCACTAACTTTCCCAATTATCCTATTCTTATCCCCTGGATTCCTACTAGGTTCCCCTGACTGCACTCCATCCCCTCAACAATTTATAATCCAGAGAGATTGGTTGTAACTTGATCACATTTCCCTTATTTAAAACCTTTCAGTGTCTGCCCATTCCTCTTAGCATAAAGTCTGGGCCATGGATTCATCTTCCTGGGATGGATGCGCCCTTTACTCTCAGCCAATCCGGCTTCCTTTCAGTCTTTGTACTCAGCCTCCTCTCCTGTTGAGCAGCTCAGCCACATCCTGGGAGTCTGTCTTCTCTTTGCTCAGGTGATGTCTATTCATTCTTCAGATCACCTCCTCAGGGAAGCCCTTCACGATCTCCCTGTGCAGGCCCGCTGCCCCTCTCTCCCTGCACCACACCTGTCTCCACCTTACACACATCTTCGCTGTTCTTTGGGTACCATCCTTCTCCTCTGGACCACATGCTCCATAAGCTCAGGGACCACGTGGGGTGCTTGCCCTACCACCGCCCCAGCACCGACCGGGAGAACGACACTCTTTGCTGATTAATGAATGAGTGAATCGGTGCAGCACCCTCTGGAGTGGGGATGTTCTGTGAGGACAGCCAGCCAGCTCTCGAGGGCCCTCCCACACAAAAGGCCAGCTGATCCACCCTGGGAACCAGACAGCGGAAGGGAACCCTGAAAGCCACTGAGCCCTGGGATTGTCTCCCTAATCTAACTCTGCTTTCTTCGTCCATCTCCATCATCACTAACTTTCCCAATTATCCTATTCTTATCCCCTGGATTCCTACTAGGTTCCCCTGACTGCACTCCATCCCCTCAACAATTTATAATCCAGAGAGATTGGTTGTAACTTGATCACATTTCCCTTATTTAAAACCTTTCAGTGTCTGCCCATTCCTCTTAGCATAAAGTCTGGGCCATGGATTCATCTTCCTGGGATGGATGCGCCCTTTACTCTCAGCCAATCCGGCTTCCTTTCAGTCTTTGTACTCAGCCTCCTCTCCTGTTGAGCAGCTCAGCCACATCCTGGGAGTCTGTCTTCTCTTTGCTCAGGTGATGTCTATTCATTCTTCAGATCACCTCCTCAGGGAAGCCCTTCACGATCTCCCTGTGCAGGCCCGCTGCCCCTCTCTCCCTGTACCACACCTGTCTCCATCTTACACGCATCTCCGCTGTTCTTTGGGTACCATCCTTCTCCTCTGGACCACATGCTCCATGAGCTCAGGGACCACGTGGGGTGCTTGCCCTACCACCGCCCCAGCACCGACCGGGAGAACGACACTCTTTGCTGATTAATGAATGAGTGAATCAGTGCAGCACCCTCTGGGTGTGTTTTGAGGTGTTAGATGGTGTTGGGTGTGTAGCTGTGTGTGATGTGGGGGTGCAACTCGTGCTACACCATGAGCGACTGCACGGCTGGCCTTCACACTCTCCCGGCAGGAAGTGTCTGTCCGAGCGGGGAGTGCACACAACGTCACTGTTGCCCCACATTCAGCCGCTGACTTGACAGCTGCGCCTGGGACTTGCAGCCCCCTCCAGAGGCTTTGGAGAGCTACGGCAGACCAAGGACTGTTTATACCGGGTTCTACTGCAGAGGACTGGACTTAATGAATCTGCACAGGAGCCCGAGTGGCCCACACTGGGATGCTTCCTCCTATCGTCCCAGGAACCCTCCAGGCCCCAAAGCCTAAACACCCTGCCGTTCAGTTCTAGCCAACCGCCCGGCCTTTCGGACTTGACGCTTCAGACCAGCCTGATTCCCATCCCCACGCCGCTTCTGGGATGTGAGCCTGGCTCCCAGCCAGCCCGGCCACTGGCCTCTCCAGAGGGTCCTCAATGCTCTCTGTAGAGAAGAACAGGAGCATCTTCTCTGCTGGAGACCCTCCTATCTCTACCTTCATGGACCAGTTCTTTGGAGCCCAATCAATGCTCAATTGAGGCTCCTGAGGGCCAGCCCCTCAGTCACACCCAGGAGATGGGGTGTGGGAGACAGCCTGGACAGGCCTGGTTCTCTCTGATGCTGTGGTCTGTGCTCCACCTCCTGTTATCCAGCACAATGTCTGACCTCTGAACCCAGAAGTCATGTTGCCGCTGGGTGACAGTTTGTGAGTGCTTAGTCTGGGAAGGAGTGACCCTGGGGTCCCCGGGGTTGCCCTCCTCCTGCCCCTCATGCCCCCCACCCTCCAGGACAGCAGGCAGGCTCACCAGACAGCAGCCACTGCAGCCTCTGGACGTAGCGGTGCATCAGCTTGTCCAGGTGTGTGATGTACACCTCCATTTCCCTGGGGGTGCACTCAATGTGTCTCACTGTCCCCTGGATTAAAGCAAGCAAAGAAAAATACTCCCCTGCCAGCTCTTTCTTCATATCCCCATCACCCCCAAAACAGTTTAGTCTATTGTGGTTCACAATTTTCGCAACACTGTAAAAGCATACATTTTTGTTTGTTTAAAAGCTTTTTTTTTCTTTTATTAAACTATCAAATGCATGGGTTTAGGCAGGTGTGGGGGAATTAGGATGATGGTTTTTGTGTCAAATGTGGTCACTGTCATAACTAAAAACTAAAATAGTCTCTCTAAATTTTAAATAGAAAACCCTTAATGGTAGAATGGGAGGTCGATAAATTTCACATTAAAAGATGACCTTGGATGGAGGAGGCAGGCAGCATGATTAAATGCCCATGAAACTTGTATGGTGGATAATTTTTAGCTTTACAGTTGACAATGTCACATTAAAGGGCAAGGAGAGAAAATGGGGTCTTTTTTTTTTTAAAGCAGGATTAGATTTTAATTTTGTACTAAATTTACCTGTTCCAGTATCAAAGCAATTAAAAACTACCTCAAAACTAGGAAATAGAGAAGCCCCCCTGATCTCCTGCCATAACCCCTGTTTCTGGCCATCTTAACAGAACCACCATCAGAATCGGGGTACAGAGTTCTTACTTGTAAGTATTCTAGCCACTGCTCTGTGATCTCAGCAACAGTTACTAATTCTCATCCCAGAGAGTACCTAGAACCTTGATCATGGTCTCAGGCATTCTGAGGGGCTGGCTTTCCTTCCAACAGGGTTCTGTATCCTATTCCTTGAGGGAAGTCCCCCTTTGGGGGGTTGGGGTTCTTAATAGGGGAAATAAAAGCTGGGGGCTCATACATTCATGTGGACTTTCCCCTAACACACTCAGCCATCTGTGTCTAAGAAGAGACAGGAGCCAGGAGTGAAAAAACAAAACCAATCTTGACTTACATTGATCTCTATGCTGGGGAAGACACTGCAGTATTTGGCTGATGCTGACATCTGTACTGATTTTTGATGAGTGCAGTTGGGACCAAGGTATCTGGAGACCTCCATCTTTAGTTTCTTTAACCCATAATTTGCTACCCACTTTGGAATAAAGGAAAGAATGATTATCTTGGGTAATTTTGGCTTAATGGAATGATTGGCTCATCTTTCAAAAACCTCATATTTGAAATCTGTCTTGTATTTGAAATGTGGGGTTTCCCAGGTCCTCACCGAGACTACCTCACATGCATATTCCTGCCCCAGTGCTAGAGAGAGATGCAAAGAAATATGGGAAACAGGGAACAAAATTTACTGAGCACTTATTACTCCCTGGTCTGATGAACCCTGTGGCTTCCTCCATTTCCATTTCAGCCTCTTCCATGAAACTAGAATGGAAACCCTGATTGGTCTCAAGTTTAGATCAATAAGATATCACAATAAGAGATACAAGAATGACCAGGTTTAAAGCAATCAGAGTATGGTATCCAGGCCTGGACCAATCAGAACCAAGCTCAGACTGACTGACTGGTTGCCAGAAGAAAAGATAACCTATCTTTGGATTTGAACAAGAAGCTGGGTTTTCAGTGCTTGCATCCAAAAGGACCTGACACCACTAAGAACTTTACACAAAATAGACTTCAATTAATCAGCAATCCTATTAGGTACAAGAGTCTTCATTTTATAAATATAAATGATATTATATTATATACTAGGAAGTGGCAGACTCAGGTTCCCACATAGTTCTCTTTAATCCTTATCCTGACACTTGACACAGTCATTCTAAGCAGATTTGGTCTCAATTCCAAGTGTGTCCACCTTCCCAGATATAATGGTTGGTGGGAGGAATGACTGCTTGGAGGCATGTGCTGGTACAAACAGCATAATACCTCTTGGCTGGAGCAGACTGTATCCTTTCTGGGCAACTCAATAGAAGATCTAGTCCTTCTTAGGCCCCTTCTTTGAGGGTACTTCTTGTATACGGAACCTGCGAGAAAGAGAGCAGAGTTATCTTGTGCAATTCTCTTATCCTCTCCTCCCTTTTCCATGTCAGTTTCTGTCAATCAAGTCAGTTGTAACATTCCTCAGGTGCAACTTGCTGAGAGATAGGAGGGACTCTTGGGGGATCTAGGGAGGTTTTCTGGGACCCCCCACCCGACCCCCCTGTGCTTCTCAATGAGTTGCTATTGGGACTTGTGCCTCCTCACAGCTATCAATCCTGCTGACTTGGGGGATTCAAGCCCACTTCCTTCCCAGTCAGTCTGAGGACACCACCCCTCACAAACAGAGCCAGAGCCCTGTACCCAGGGACCCGGGGGGAATGCCGACACCACCTTTTCCCACTCTACTGCTTTGTGTCAAGACTTTGCAAGCTCACTTCCCTGGGCTGGGAGATCTGAGTGGTTTGAGGATAGGCCTGCTCCGGGGGCACTGCTGTCCGTGTCCTGGAGGGGTCACCCTCCCATGGGCCTGATCACCTTCCAGGTCTCACGGGGCAAGGGGGCTGTCCAGACATCTGCTTAGCCGCCAACTCACCCACATTATTCCCCGTCTCTGTGTAGAACAGCAAGAGAGCTGTTTCTGCATCCCTCGATTGGGTCTTCTTCCTCCACTTGGCAGTCCCTTTCTTCACTGGCGGGGCTGCAGCTAGAGGACATTTGGGCTGTTGTCTGGATCTGCCTTGAGGGTTTATGTGGTGAAGCTGTGCAGTTTGGCTTAGAGACTTGTCAACTTCAGCTATGCTCTGCCCTCAGAAATGGGGCTCCAAGGTGGCTTTGAGGTTCTGACTCTGACTCTGAGTCAAACTGACTCTGGCCTCACTGGGATCAGCAAAGCTAGAGCTGCTGCTACTTACCAGGCTTGGTGCGAGGTGCCTCCCGGTCCCTGTCTGGTTTTATCCTCACAGTCCCCCAGTTTACAGATGAGGCACGGGGGACTCAGAGTCAGCGAGAAGCAGAGCAAAGAGTCTACCCAGGTCTTGCTGACTCCGGGACTCCAGAACTCTGCTCTGAACTGCTCTGCTGTTTCTGACATTAGAAGTAAGACACATGGTCTTAGATTGTATGAGCTGAATACCTTCATAAAAATACCAATGCCTTGTCATGACCGGCTGGCACTGGACACTCTCCTTAGTCCCTCTGAGCCTGAATTTCTTTATCAGTAAAACAGAGGAACTAATAGATTCCTTGCTGTATAGGATGGATGATTACAAGCTTTAAAGGGGACAGTCTTAGCAGAGGGCAGGCGCACGATCACCGATCACTTTAGGGACTGCCATCACTCATCCATGTCTTAGCAGAGGGCAGGCGCACGATCACCGATCACTTTAGGGACTGCCATCACTCATCCATGTCTTAGCAGAGGGCAGGCGCACGATCACCGATCACTTTAGGGACTGCCATCACTCATCCATGTCTTAGCCATGTCTGTCCACCCTTCCCACCCCGTGCCCATGCCTTACCTGAGGGGATGCCTGCTTTGCCACTGAGTGGACGCCATGGCAGAGCTTTCAAGGGGGGCCTCTTCTCTCTGTCAGGGTCATCTTTAACACTCTAGAAAACAGGCAGCCTTTCCCATCAGAGGCCTGTTTTCTGTGGTGGGCAGTACCCCCATCACCCCAGCCCCAATATGTCAAGTAGGAACCTTTTCATGGAGAGGCCTGAGGAAGAAGTTTTCTCATATGTTCACCCCTCTCCTGCAGCAGATACGGAGAAGACTCTGGTGTTTGAGGTGAAAAATACGTGTGTGTGTGCATATATATGAATGGGTGCGTGCAAGTGTGTGTGTGTGTGTGTGTGTGTGTTTGTGTGTTATGAGAGAGAGCCTGTGGAAGTTCCCTGGTGGTCAAGTGGTTAGGACTTGGAGCTGTCACTGCTATGGCCTGGGTTCAATCCCTGGTCAGGGAACTGAGATCCTGCAAGCCATGAAATATGGCCAGAGAGAGCGCTTGCTAGGACTGCTGTGGGGATTTGCCTGAACCTTCTTCAACAGCTACCTGCCCCTCTTCCTACCGGCCTGGGATTTCTGGGCCTCCAGGATGACCAGCAACCACTCAGTAATTTCTGTGCCACGTCGGGCACCTCAGTTTTAAGGGAGGGGTTCCTTCATTACTGGGCACAGCTGGAATGTGGTGACAGCTGAACAGAGTCCCCCAGGCCCGGGGCCAGCTGACCCCCATCATCTACTCAGATCCTCTTCCCTCGTTTCAGGAGGCCTGTTAGGGGCCCTGGTGCAACCCAAGCCCCCTCGCACTGAAGGCCCAACCGGCAGACTCCGAGACCCTGGGGTTTCACCTCAGAATTCAGGAAGACGAGAAGGTGCCGGCTCTGACCCCTGGTGGAGTCTGTGCACGTGTGGACCGAACCTCTCGAGAGTGCAGCCCCGGGAAGGGAGAGCGCTGTGTTCACCAGGGTCTGTCAGCTGGTGAAATGCTGAAGAGTTCACACACCTCACTGTGGCTTCTGCTCACAAGTGCTGTGGAGTCTGGGGTCTTCCCCCAGGCACACTCCTTCCTTGACGCCCCTTGTGATTGTTACGGTGGACATTTTATGCAGGACAGATTTTGACAGGCTGTGAACAAGGATCAACCCTGGGGAAGGCCCAGGTCCAATCAGGCCCCTGTAAGCCTTGAGCAGAAGCAGCGAGAGCCCATTAGATGCCCCTTCGCCCCTGAGAGGCCCTCTGGATGAGCCCTCCTGCCTTCTAACCAGCACGTGTAATCATGGGTGCCAGTTCCCTGGAATCCTTGGTACCACAATGCTGGGATAACCAGGCAGAGCCAAAGCTGGAGTGGAAGGGGTGGCCAGGGCCGAGAAGCAGGCCCCTGGGGTCTCCTCCCCCTTGGAGGCCGGGCCCCTGACCACCGAGGACACTACCCCCGCCTCCACTGGCCCTGGGACCTGGGGACCCAGCCCAGGCCACTTCGCGATCTAGGAAAGACCAAGAGACAAGGTGGGAAATAAAATCCTCTGTGTGTTATTAGGGGAGGGGAGTCAAACCATTCTGGCCACGGAGGGTGCTGTGGGCTTGGAAGGACAGAACTTCCTGGGCTGACTTCTCGGCTGGAGCACATTCGGCTTCTCTTTCAGGAGGGCTGCACTTTCCTGTCCTTTTCCAGACTGGTTCTTCAGGGAGGACACGAGTAAGGCACACTGCAGCAGGGATTGGGAGAGTCAGGCAGGTGCCTCCCCAGGGAGTGTGTACACACACAATTCCGTGCATGCACACACACACACACACACACACACACACACAGCAGGAGGGGCTGAGGCCAATGGGGCCTCTGGATTTTTCTTTCTACCCCTAGAGTGCTGCCGGGAGCTGAGAGTTCTATGGTCAAACCTACTAATGATAAGTACAGAGGTCCTGTGATGCATCAGGCTAGTTAGTGGGCGAGTTGGTGCCTGGGGGTCTCAAATCCTCTTGTCCATAAGGCATGTGACTACACAGGCCGGGTAAGTGCCATCTCATCCCATTTTACAGATGAGGAAGTAAATCTTATGAACTTAAAGGACTTGCCCAAGGCTACTGAGAGTATTCTTGCCTGGAGAATCTCATGGACAGAGGAGCCTGGTGGGCTACAGTCCATGGGGTCACAAAGAGTCGGACACGGCTGAGTAACTTCACTTCACTTCACTTCACTGCGAGTATACAGTAGATCTTCCATTTATTCTCAGGTGGACCTTGTCCCAAAGCCAGTTTTCCTCCATATGTGGACCCTGTGCCCATGACTGACCCTGGGGGCCCACAGAATGGTGGCATAATACTTGGTTCCTTTGCCTACCTGTTTCTCAACTGCCTGAAAGATTCTTCAATAATTATTCTCAATCAAAGCACTAGAAAACACCACTCGAATGTAAATAACACCACATGAGGGTGGCTTAAACCAGTATTGCCATCTTGGGAATGTTTATAGATATATAATACCTTGGGAATCAGTTTATCAAATGAGGGAGCAGGACTAATGGGCACCTGAGAAGCAGTTTTTTCAAAACACCAAAGAGGGGCCCTTTCAGGGTGGAATGCTCAGACACATTTTGGGGAGCCACAGGTCTGCCAATCCATGGCCCCACCCTCCCAGGAGCTCACAATGTAGTTGGGAGACAGGCAGTTCTGGCAATGGTGGTACTTGAAATGTGAGTCACCTACATGCTCTGTCCATCCCCTGGCTTCAACTGCCCCATACCTCTATGTCTGGCCCTCATCTTTATCCACCTGCCAGGATGCCCCCACTTACTATCTCATAAGTCGCACAGACTCACCTCTGTTCTAGCCTCTCTTAACCCTGTCCTGATTTCTCTCTCTGGGTCTATGGCACCACTGTCTACCAGGTCCCCCAGCAAGTCACCCCAGGATTTCTTCTTCTTTCTCACCCCGTGCATTCAATCAGTCACAAGTTTGGTCAATTCTTCCTTAAAAACATGATCTCAAGTTTGTTCCTTTGTGTCCATTCTCATTGCTCCTGATGCGATCTGGTCCCTCTCTCACCTCACCTTGAACCGCTCAACTCCTTCTCTGAGGAGGTGACACTTTAGTGAACCCTGAATAACATGGATGACCTCGGAGGGGAACAGCTGGCTGAGGAAATAGCAGGTGCAAAGGCAAATTTGGGAAGGAGTTTGATCTGTTCAAAGGTGTACAGGCCAGGATGCAGAGCACACAGACCTAAAACCAGTGACTTATAGGAAACCCTCATGTTTCATTGGAAGCCTTTGGTGTCTGTGGATCAGCACAAAGGTGGAGAGCTGACATGGGGGGAGTCGTGTCCCCCAAAAGACATGGTCCAAATTCCCAGTACCCGTGAATGTGACCTTACTTGGAAACATGGCCTTTGTAGATGTAAGGAAGATGTAAGTTAATGAGGCTATACTGGAAGGGCGGGCCCTTAATCCAATATAACTGATGTCCTTCGAAGAAAAGAGACACAGACACACACACAGAGGGAGGAGAGCCACATGGAGATGGAGGCAGAGATTAGAGTGAGGCTGCCACAAGCCAAGGAATGCCAAGGAGTGCTGGTGATAAGGATGCCCTACTTGACCAAACTTTGTCATGCTCCTCTGAGCCCTCTTCTTGACTGGGTTTTAACTGCTCCAAAATCACTGCAATGGTGCCTGAAGCCATGAAATCGAAAGATGCTTGCTCCTTGGAAGAAAAGTTATGATCAACCTAGACAGCATATTAAAAACAGAGACATTACTTTGCCAACAAGGTCTGTCTAGTCAAAGCTATAAGTAACTTTCATTCCACTAACCCTCTCACTCTGCTCATTGGCTATAAATCCCCAGCTATTTTTGCTGTATAATCAGAGTTGAGTTCAACCTCTCTCCCTGATTGCAGTCATCTTGAACAGTGTCTTCCTTGCCATTTTTAACAAGCATCCAGTGAAATTTCATTTCTAAGAGCAGTCACCACCAGAAGCTATGAAGAGGTAGAGATTCTACTCAGAGCCTTTGGGATGGGGGGTCATGGCCCTTTAGACACCTTGATTTTAGGCGCTAGCCTCTGGAACTGTGAGGGAATAAATATCTGTCATTTTAAGCCACCTCTTTTGTGGTCCTTTAATGACAGCCCCAGGACTCTAACAGAAGCCAGTGTAGTCAATGATTGCCCCATACATAAGGCATACCTTTTGGGAGTAGTTGAGAGCCTTTTCCATCTCAGACGTGATGGCACTGATATCATCACTTTCGTAAATACCTGGAAACAAAGTACATCATGAGTGTGAGGGTGGGTGCCGATTCTGGCAAGTGTCCATATCTGTAACCACAAGGGCCACCTCAGCGTGGAGGGGACCTCAGCCCAGGGGGCAGGCTGGGGTCTTAGTGGGCTGAGCTGACCAGCCCCCACCCCATGCTATCTGGTGGTAAAGGAGATGGGCAGATATAGTGAGGGTACCAAGAGCAGAGCCAGCCTTGGGACCCAGCGCCTGGACACCCAGCCAAGAGCTCTCACCCACAGACGAGTAGGTCAGGGAAAGGTCCTGCTCCTCTAGGGACTAAGATCCACCTTGAGGTTACTTAAAGTAGCTAATGTCTGCAGTGAATAATGTCTGTAGTAATATCTCAAATATGACTCATTTGAGTGGGACCTGGAGAAGGAAATGGCAACCCACTCCAGTGTTCTTGCCTGGAAAATCCCAGGGACGGGGGAGCCTGGTGGGCTGCCGTCTATGGGGTCGCCCAGAGTCGGACACGACTGTGTGACGCCTAAGAAAACAGACTCTGGGTTCAGCTCCTGGTTCCTTACTTACTACCTCTGTGCTCTGGGTCCTGTGTCTCAGCTTCACTAGCTGCAAAATGGGGTAATAATCATAACCTACTTCATAGGGTTATTGTGAGGAATGAATCACAACATGTTTAAAACACTTAAAACCGAGGTTGGCATAGAATCACTATTTTATAAATGCTTGCTATTATCAATAATAATCACCAATAATAACTTCAATGTATGTATCCGGCACTTTTCATGAGTTCCAGCCCCAGCTATGCCACTCATGTCTCTGGAAGTCATTTCTTGATTTGTAAATCAGAGAGATCAGAACACACTCTAGTGTCCCAAGCATCAATCCCTCCTGAATCACGTCACAATTTTGCATTGCCTGCATATCACCTAAACCATAATTTACTTAAAATATGTATTTTTAAATTTTTTTAATTGGAGAATATTTGCTTTACAATGTTGTATTAGTTTGTACTGTACAACAACATGAATCAGCGATAATTAAGCAAATATCCCCTCCCTTTTAAGCCTCCCTCCCAACCCCTACCCTATCCTTATGTTCATGGCATAGGGAGCTATATCGGTCCTGAGACTACTGTCTGCAAAGAAAGAGGTGGAGGGACCAGCACCACTCCCTCACCTGTGTCTCCAAACCAGTGGAAGCGCCCACCAGCAGCCCGGGTGACCTCCCTGTAGGCGGCGGCCGTGTCCGTGCGGCTGGCATAGCAAGCAGGGGGCATGGTGTCCGTCTGTGACTCACCCACATAGAAGAGACACACGTTCAGATGGAAGTCACAGCCCCCGCAGGCCTCGGCCATGTAGGCGCTGAGCATGGCCTGTGGGCAGAGAGGAAGGAGGGGCCCAGGGCTGAGGGCTTTTCAAGCTGCTGGTCTTGGGTCAGTTCAGCCCAGTCTCTTTCTTGAGGACCTACTGTGTACCAGGTCTAGTACATGGCACTGAGGAGGGAAAGATGGAAGAGCCTGGGTCACCATTTCCCTTACTATCTTAATAGATCTTGGTGGGGAGCTGGGCCTGAGATCTTAGACCGGCAGCCTCTAATCCCCTGGGAGCTCATGAGAAATGCAGACTCTCAGGCCCCTGGGAGCCAGGTCTAACAACTTCTGCATTTGAACAACATCTCCAGGTGATAAAGTCTAGATGGGAAAATCATGCGGGAGAAACTGGTCGCTAGGCGTCCACCCAGGGGAAGATGTGGGGGTCCTGGAGGATAAGGGAGGCCGAGACGAGGCTCACCCACCATGTCCTGGTCAGGGATGCCCCCGGTGAAGAGGTAGATGCCCTGTGACTGCTGATCTTCTTTGTCCTTGAAGTCCACTTCCACAGCCTTCCGCAGGGCGCTGAGGACGTTCCTGCTGCCCTGACACTGCAGGTTCAGGACCCACCTGGGAGGCAGGGAGGCCGTGCTGGCACGGGGCTGCCAGGCCCCAGAGGGGAGGGTGGGGAATGGAAGGCGGATGTTTCCCCATTTGCATCTGTGCCGTCTGTTGGACGGCAAAGGTTCTAGAGAGAGCTACTTGCTGGGGGAGAGAAGGGGCCAGAAAAAGTAGCACCAGGGAGGCTGCTGTCAGACCCAGCAGGTCACCTACCGCCAGGCGTTTTGTAAGTTGCTGTGGCTGGCGGCAACCATCTCGGGCCTCCAGCTTTCGATGGTGCTTCCGAACCTTGGAGGGAGGGAAAGAGGGCTTGTTTTTAGTGGGGAGATATGTGCCCCAGTTCACTGGACTTTCCAGGATTTTAAGGGGGCAAAATTCTGGTTGAAACTGAAAGTTGCTCAGTCGTGTCTGACTCTTTGCAACCCCATGGACTATACAGTTCATGGAATTCTTTAGGCCAGAATACTGGAGTGGGTAGCCATCCCCTTCTCCAGGGGATATTCCCAACTCAGGGATCGAACCCAGGTCTCCTGCATTGCAGGCAGATTCTTTACCAGTTGAACCACAAGGGAAGCCCAAATTTCTGGTTACCTCCCCAAAATGTTAGGATGTCACCCACGAGCTCCTTGCTGGTCAGGACATGTCCCAGTATATTCACGGCGGGAGCAGAGCAGGGACCCTCCGTGTCGACCAGCCAGGACCAGTTTGGCCAGACCTCTCCCCTGAGGAAGGGTACTCCTCCCCAAGCTACGCCTCTCTCTTTCCTCTCCTCCTTCACAGACAGGCTCCCTGGAAAAACAATACTACTTCCTCATTATCTGCTCCTCAAAACTCTGCAGTCAAGCTTCCACCCCAGGCAGTTCTCTGGCAAATATTAATGATGACCTCCTTTCCTAATCCCATGGAAATATCTCTTATTATAGTTGGATAATAAATCCTCTATTGTAGTTGAATAAAAATTCTAACAATATACAGACAGTGAAAATTCTTTCAATTTTATCCCTCCCTCCAAATTTCTGTTAACTCTTTGTTCTATATTCTTTTGGATTAAAAATTGTTAGATAAAGATATATCGACAGAAGTGGAATTACAGCCTTTCTTCCCAAACCAGTGACCTTGTTTTCTACCATAAATCAGTGTTTCAGCAAAATGGATAGAAACTGCAAATTTGTGAAGAGAGTCTGGAAACCTGGGGGTACTGAGAAAGAGGGTGGGAATCAGCTTAACATAGTTATTTTTTCACTTTACACAATAATTTTTAAAAATTTCCAGCAAAATAAAAGAAACAGAATTATATAACCTATACTATTTATTTCCTTTCATTTGGACTTATTGAGGAACTTTTCGAAATGTACTCACGTAACTCTCCCACACTCTTTTGAATAGCTGCATAGAATTCTACAGTCAGGTTTATTTTACCAATTCCCTCTTGTTTTTTTTCCAGGTTTGTCAACTGTCAGAACTCTGCATTGAAAATCCCTTCAAGGTTATCTTAGCACAGTCATCTTAATATTTCCTTTGGATATTTCATAAAGGTTTAATTGAAGGAACAAAGGCCATACTGATCCAGTGCTTGCTTCAGTAGCACATATGCTAAAATTGGAACCATACAGAGAAGATTAGCATGGCCCCTGTGTGAAGATGATACACAAAATATTAGGAGCTTGGGATTAACATATACACATTATTATATACAAAACAAATAACCAACAAGACCTACTGTCTTGTTGACCTCCTGTTTAGCACAGGGAACTACACTCACTATTTTGTAATAACTTATAAAGGAAACAAATCTGAAAAACAATATATATATATACAGTATGTAACTGAATCACTTTGCTATACACCTGAAACTAACATTACATTGTAAAGAGACTATGTGTGTGTGTGCTCAGCTGTGTCTGATTCTTTTTGATCCTATGGACCAGAGCCCGCCAGGCTCCTCTGTCCATGATGGAATTCTCCAGGCAAGAATACTGGAGTGGGTAGTCTATCCCTTCTCCAGGGGATCTTCCTGAGTCAGGAATCAAACGGGAATCTCCTGCATTGCAGGCAGACTCTTTACTGGCTGAGCTACCAGGGAAGCACCGAATCAACTATACTTCCAATTTTAAAAAATGTAATACAAGGGCTGTACCAAACTACATTTCCACCAACACTTTCCAGGAGTGCCCTTTTCACCAAATTATCATCAGCACTGGGTACTATCAATCTTTTAACTGTTTGCCAAACTGAATTGCAAAATCATTATGTCTCATTGTTTTCCTATCAGGGAGCTCTATTGCCAGGTTCAGTGAATTCCTTCTTTTTTCTCCTTCTGACTTTGCTTTTGCAGGCCCTAACTCTGTTTCTTTCCAAGATCCTCCTTCAACTGGGAAAGGTGAAAACACCTTTCTCTCCTGGTTTTCCTCCTGCCTCTTGGACTGCTCCTCTTGTTTCTTAGGTGCTTCCCCTTCTCTGCTGTCCAAATGGCAGTTTCTCCCAAATTCTGTCCTTGGTTGGCATCTCTCCTCCATCGTGTCTCCACAGGTGCAACACGTGCCCTCCCACGTCTTCAGCTCATGCTGACGGCTAGAGCTCCAACCAGGAGACTCTCCAAACTCTTGAGGATCTCAGACTCTATACGTTTATCTTCCAAACTCTGCTCCACCTGGCACATCGCTTCACCATTCCCTCGTCCCTACAGCCAAACAGTGACCACATTCTGCATATGTAACTCCTTGCACCCCTCACAGGCCCCTCTGTCTGTCATTCCCTCCCCTCCAATACTGCATCCCTTCAGCCAGTCCTTCACCCTGTAACTCAAGTGTCTCAAGATTATTATCTTGCTTAAAATCCTTCAATATCTATATGTCCTATAGTATAAAAGCTCCTGCTTAAAGCCTCCATCATCTGGGGTTTCCTTTTGTTTCTGGGCCATCTGGTTCTCCCTCTCACCCTTTGTTCACACTCAACTACTCACACTGCAGGTCCCCAAGGTTGTGTAACACATCACACCTCTGTGCTCTGCTCACTGCACCACAAGGCCCCTTCTCCACATTCTGTGTGCTGGGGAAACCCCGGTTCTTTGTCAAGACTCAGCTAAGATTTCCTGACCCCACTCTTCCCAGGTGAATGGACTGACTCCGCCTTTGAGTCGATATGGGACTCCCATATCCTGCCTTCTACTTATTTCTTCAGAAAACATTTAATAGCATTTATATTTTAACATTCCTGCTTCCTACTACTAGGTCATAAGTTCCTTAAGAACAGGTATCATGTGTGTTAACTTCTAAATCCCTAATGCCCAGCATACCTACAGTACATGGCAGCCTTTCAATAAAAGTTAAATGAATGAATGGGATGAATGAATGAAAATGTTGTCCAAAATCCTTCTCTAAGCATTTTTCTGTAGAATTTATTAGGGAATGACTAGGCTCTGGTACAGTTTAACATATAATAATAACTGCTGACTTATTAGGTTGAGAACACTCCCTATATGATGTGAAGTTGTGTAAAAAATATATATATATAACTACCTATATTTAAATTATATATAATTTATAGATAAAAATATAAGTAACTATGTAGCTAGACCTACAACTTAAATATTTATACTATTATATATATGTCATATAATTTAAACATATGTAAACATACTACATATTAAATATTTATACTTTAAATTAAATTTATAGTTAAAATTTATATACATAATTATGTATAAAATACTTAATTTAATTATATAGCTTATAGTATTAATTTATATTATATATACTTATATAAGGGCTTCCCAGGTGTTCCAGTGGTTAAAAACCCACCTGCCAATGCAGGAGACATAAGAGACATGGGTTCAATTCCTGGGTCAGGAAGATCCCTTGGAGAAGGAAATGGCAACCCATTCCAGTATTCTTGCCTGGAGAAGCCCATGGACAGAGAAGCCTGGTGGGTTACAGTCCATGGGGGTCCATAGGTTCTCAAAGAGTCAGACACAACTGAAGTGACTTAGCATGCAGCACACACCTACTTATATATAACTTAAATACATAGTTTTATATATAATGGAACCATGTAGTTTTATATATAAAGGTCCAATTTAATTCTATATAGCTCTATATAATCTATATAACATATAACTACATATAATAATAATATTGATATATCTATGTACAATTAAAATTTATAATTGGAATTCTGAATGTTTAAAATATCGTGGCTTGCTAGAACTGAGGTAGGAGCCAAGCCTGGGGACCCTTCTTTTTCTCTTTTGTGTTTATCAGCTTGGGAGCCAAATGGGGCAACGAGGCTGAGTTACTTTATCCTGGCTGATCAAACAGTGTGTTTTGGGGCCGCTTATCACCTTCACCCCAGGGGGACCATCCTACAACCATTTAATTATTCAATGCCCCAAACAAGATGGTTCAAACCAGATAAACAGACAGCCCTCCTAGAAGGCCAGCTGCCCATACATCTGCTGTCCTGCCAGAAGCCTCAGCCTGGCGATGGCGTCCCAGCGCCCACACCCTCCCCACGGGGGAAGGCTGCATACGCAATGATGTTGAAGCAGTCTTTGTTGGACAGCTGCTCCTCCAGCAGGCGTCGCAGGGAGTGCTGGATATGAATAATGTACATGGAATTGGTCACGGAGATATCGAGCAGTATAACCACCCTAAAAAGAAACACAAGCTTTAAGAGGAGAACCGAATCTCTCAGATAATGTTTATTCTGTTCCATTTTACTATTTAACGTTTTTTCCAGGGGAGTTCTGCACGCCAAATTCACTCCTGGCCAAATCTTCTCGGTGGCTTGAGGTCAACACAGGCTGAGGGGTCATGGAACCTTTTCTGCTGGAGGGTCTATCATGGAATAAAGCCTCGTGGTGGACACAGTTTAAGGGCAGGACTGCATATAATGATTTCATACATTTCCTTGTTTTAAATCACTAGCATTCATACTACAATAGGTTGGGGTCTGTGCAGGGAAAACAAAGAAGCTAAGCAAGTTAGATGGGGAATTAGATATAACTGGGGCCTCCGGGGAAATGTATCTTTTTATTTTCTCTCTCTGTTTTAAGATCTCTTGCAGTGGAGAAGGCAATGGCACCCCATTCCAGTACTCTTGCCTGGAAAGTCCCATGGAGGGAGGAGCCTGGTAGGCTGCAGTCCATGGGGTCGCAAAGAGTTGGACAGGACGGAGCGACTTTGCTTTCACTTTTCACTTTCATGCATTGGAGAAGGAAATGGCAACCCACTCCAGTATTCTTGCCTGGAGAATCCCAGGGATGGGGGAGCCTGGTGGGCTTCCGTCTATGAGGTCACACAAGGTCGGGCACAACTGAAGCGACTTAGCAGCAGCAGTGTTGAGCCTTCTCTTTAGATCTTATAGTCCTATATCCTCCCCTCATTCTCATTTTGAGACAGCTATGGATTAGCAAAAGAAAATTTACCAGATATAGCATCAGAAGACCTTAGTTCAAGTCCCACTTTCTGTGGGGCCTTAGGCAAGTCACAGCACCTCTCTGATCCTTGCCGTGTGTGTCTGTGTGCTCAGTCATGTTTGACTCTTTGCGACTCCATGGACTGTAGTCTGACAGATTCCTCTATCCATGGAGTTCTCCATGCAAGAGTACTGGAGTGGTTTGCCATTTCCTACTCCAGGGGATCTTCCTGACTCAGGGATTGAACCTGGGTCTCTTGCATCTCCTGCATTAGCAGTCAGATTCTCTTTTTTTTTCCATTTGTTTTTATTAGTTGGAGGCTAATTACTTTACATCATTG